TATGTTCAATCTGATGGCAAACAGTTGCTCGCTGCGTTATGTTTGTGATCCTTCCTGTTTAGAAGAAGGTGAGATAACAATCATTGGAGTTTTTATAAGTACTAAATAAAATAAAATAAACTACTAAAACAGAAATAACTATAATCAAGAGACAACAGGGTGGTGGTTAAAACAGTTTAACAGAAGGAACGGATTCACTGCTTCACTCTTAAAGGGTTGTTTCCTCTACTCAAGACTTAGCACCTTTTGGCTTTGTCCCAGTTTCTTTGCCTGCCAACTCTGATTCCTCAGCTCATGGTTTAGATGGCTCACAAGTTTCCATATTCCTACGGCTCCCTTGACTCCAACAGGTACTTAGTTCAGGACCTTAAAATGGAAGAGTTGGCCCCTTATTCCTAAGGTGACCAGTAGCGTTTTTGCCATGACATCTACCTTCTCCCAATGGATAAGCTGTCTGAAATCCCTTCCTTATGGAAGTTCCTTTCTCAGTATGTACCCAATTTCCATTGGCGCACAATGGATATAGCTTACTTAGCCAAAGAAATACAAAAAGCTTCGGTCAAGAGTTTTCAAAACAGTTCTTTAAGAATTTCACAATTTACCCGTTCCACAGATAGTTCAGCTCATGGCAGATAGTTTAAACATAATTATTCTCAGCTGAGATCACATAGACCCGAGATTCAGTCAAGAGATAACGATTGGAACGACGAGAAAAACACTTATATTAATTTAAAAGACAGTTTACAAAAAGAAACAGAAAATGGAGAAAGATGGGTTTTTGCTCGTGAGGAGTCTTGATAGTTGTTTACAGAGAAGAGAAGAGGGGTTGTCACTTAACTACAGTTACAACTTAAAATTAAACTAAGTTACTAACTACTACTAAGTGATCTCTTCCTTTCGGATTGCAAACCCTCCAGGATTCGATGATGTTTTTGTGTGAAGGTGGTCCAATTTATAGCTGGAAGAGGAGTGGAAAGACTGTAATTCCTTTGGAGCTAGTTGCTTGAATGAGGGGACGGGGTTGTGGCAGCAGAGTGTGAAGCTTGCGTGAATTGCTGAATGGAACAGGTTTTGGTGATGATTAGCCGTTGTTTGCAGACCTTCCCATGTTTTGCTTCTGTTTTCAGCCAATGAGAACTCTTGATTCTCTGCTCTTCACGTTTCCAGCTGCTCAGTTGGTGCACCGCCTTGCTTTTTAGAAGTCTTTAACTCTACGTTACCTGCAAAGTGTACAGAAGCATTAAATGAATGGAGCAGGTGCATTAAATGTGTCTCAGTCTGTTCCCCTTTTAATATATTTTAAAGGAATACGTTACCATCCGTTCCCCCACTGTGTTTTTGTCACAAATGTGTAAAACAAGTGATTTTCATGCTGAAGTTGCTCATCAGATGAGGGAACGTATGGTATTTTGCCATCAAAATTGGCTTAGATGTGAACGAATTTACGTCTCATCACATAATGCTGTATGCTATGACATGTTCGACACACACCAACAAAACAGATGAATCACGATATGCATATGCATGACTAGATCATAATCATAATAGCATATATTTCTTGTACTTTTAATACCAAGCTGCCGAATAACAAATACTTCCCAAAACAGAATTTCCATCATCTCAAGTCCAAAGGCAGATTACCAACAATATTTAACAGAATACAAATCATCAGGCACATGTGAGCAACAGTTCAAAATTCCATACGCTATCTAATAGTCACAATAGGTCTCACCACCAAACACTTACCCATGTGTCCAAGTAATTTATCAAACAGCACAAAAATTCAGCCCACACACTAAGGTTAATGCGCACCTAAACAAGCAAAACCAAAATAGAGTTTCAAGCTTTGATTCCTATGATTTACAATAAATTCTATGCCCCCTAACCCATGTACATAATCGGGTTGCTCATGGTTCTCATGAAGAGTTAATTTCCTGACTTCATGCCAATTCTAACTTGTTATTGTAACAAAATCCTAGGTTCTGCCATGTATACGACTTTGGTTTTTTTGCCATGCTTTTTACCCTAACAAATTTATGGTTTCACTTTGATTTACCCACGAATAACAACAAGAAATACCAACATAACCAGAATCGATTTTCTTCCCTCTACTAGATACCTAGAATTATTCATTTATATAACCTTTTATACATTACATAGGGGATGATAAAGGGCTTCAACATGCTGCCCATGAAATTCTTAACACATACCATTTTTAATAATTTTCTTAGCCCAAGGAATCAGTTCCACAAGGTAGAACAATGGCTACTTCTAAGCTCACAAAGAGACCACTTTCAGTTTACCGATACTAATTTCAAGGTTGTTCCCAAAGTTAAAGTTTAAGGCTCACATGGCTGTTCACAAAATTAGATTAAGGCTCACATGCATTACATCCTAGGGCTGTTCTAAAGGGGGCAGAATCCAAAGGAATAGAATGACTAAAAAAAATATTCTTCTATACGTATGTGAGGGCCGAACATGTAGGAACAAGGAAAGATTACAGATTTGACTTAGTTCCATTTGTAGGACACCCATTACGTACAATTCGGTTGAAGGAAACTGTGGCCCAATGATGCTCCAATTCCCTCCTATTCTACTCTTCAATGTACGGTTTTTAGGCTGCATTCAAGGGGGAAAACCTCAGTCAGAATCGATTACTGTACAAGAGAGCAAGGAGATGAAGAAATACTCTCGTACAAGAGAGCAAGTTGATGAAGAAATACTCTCTCTTCCTTGGCGGTTGCTTCACGATAGAACAAGAGAAGAGAAGGGTGAGCCGCCGTTGAACTCTGCATGCAAGAGGGGGTCTCCACCAATTCGCATGGATGGGCAGAAACAATAAGGAGGAAAATTTCATTATGCCCCTTTACTTGAAAGTTTACAGCCGAACAATGAAGAGGAAGAAATGAGCGTTAAAAAATAGGTGGGTGGTCCTCTATGCATTTCACGGTTTGTATAGAGGATGGGCTACACTTTTCTTGATGTTTTCCTCTTGGAGGTTTCACGGTTTATAGGAATGAGAGAGGCCAGGTTTGTGTGTTTCTAACTCAAAAGGCCACATCCAGTTTAAGGCTTTGTTCACACCGCGCTTAGAGATGAGAAGATAGATGTTTGAAGGCTGTTCAACATGCTAGCATAGGTCAGAATTTCCTTGGCTTTCTCCTACTCATGCGCACAAGCAAAGGATGAGAGGGATGTAGGATTTTCGACCAATGGACTTTCATGTTGGCTGATCGCTTTTCTTTCATTGGACAAGGCTTACAAAGCTGACTTGCTTTATCTAAATAGAAACTCAATCAGGATTCGCTCTTACCCTAGGCGCACATGTGATGGGTGGATAAGGTGGATAAGAGTTGCCATGTGGTTGATTCTCGACCAATGACCAACTACCATGCAGATTTCTTATGATGAGTGAGGGTTAGCTAAGGTTAGGAAATAATTTTGAGGTGATTACAGCCCCCTTCAAGGACACTTGGGCCGTGGCCCTTAATGGAAGATGGGTTCAAAATTAAATGCCCTAAAGGTTCACCTCTCGCATATAATATCCTACCAATTATTTATTAAGGGTTTATTCATGGAACTAAATTTTAATCACATACTTATAACCAATATTCACATTCAGAAAATATTCCTATTTATTCCTAATAACATGCATGCACAAAATTAATTTTCCTAACTCGAATTTATTCCCTCCTGAATACATATATATTTCGAGTTCAAGACTTGTATTAACACTACTAATGACAGTTTATATACATTCCTAATTTTTTTACGCGATGTTACAGAAATCATATAAAATATAATTAATTTATAAGAAAAATATTTCTGCAGTTACAGCAGGTAAATTATCTGCATTTATTCCTAAAACAACGTCGTTTTGGGACTGAAAGATTAAAAAAATTATATTATAAACACTATAATAACCCTGAAATAAATTAAAATTACAAAAATATCACGATTTTCGCTTCAAAACGACATCATATTGGGCTTGCTGCAGATAACTTATCTGTAGAAAAAGCAAACCCTTAATTTATAGTGAAAATTTAAACACATAACTTATTATTTTTTGGGTTTGTTTTTTCTAAAGTTACTTTAGATAACTTTATCTAATGTTTATCGAAACGACGTCGTTTTGGGACGGAAATCATGGTGTTTTTGTAATTTTAATTTATTTTAGGGTTATAATAGTCTTTATCATTCTAATTTTTTAATTTTTCAACCTCAAAACAACGTCGTTTCGATGAATATTAGACAAAGTTGTCTAAAGTAATATCAGAAACTTTTTTCCCTTATTTTTTTTTTTTTATAAAAAATAAAATGAGATGCACGAGACACCCGCGTATGGACAATTACTTTTAAGTATGATTAATAGAAAAAACTAACTTTGCTAAATAATAATTAAAATTTTAAATACTTGACCAGCAACTACTATTTGGAGACCTGAAAAAAAAAATGATATTAAAAAAACACAAGGATTAGCTGGCATGAGTATGAAAACGAATTTGCTGATGATGTAATGCCTCACGCGCAGTAAAATGTTTGATAAATTCTAAGGTCTCATAATTTTTTTCTCTCTCATTTCCATCTCTTTTTTCCCTTATATTTATTATTTGGGTAACAGATAATCTTTTTCTTATACAACATAATAAGAGAAGTATTATCCTAATATTAAACTCAATCAATTAAAAAACATGGAAGGAGAATTTTCTTGCTAGTTGTTAAATACTTAAATTGCAATGACCAACTCGGAGACTCCAACGCGTGAGGTCAAAGCTAATATGACACAAACTATGCAAAATTGAATGGCTTTAGTGTTCTATTCTACTGCCACATTCCAAACACAAAGGGCCCAACACACAAAAACACAAGGGCTATATGTTTCCACGCACATAAACTATACACACACACACACACACCCCTATACACAACAATTACACAACGCTTCACAATACCATAATCTAATTTCATTTTCCAATTTGTGTTGCTTTTGCTTTATTATTAATTGAAGTTGCCTTGCCATTGGGCTAAAAAGAAATACGTAGTGAAATTTGGTCCGTGTATGAAACGATGGAGCGAGGAGCGAACACGATGCCCCTAACCTCTTTCTCTTCTTCTTCTTCTTCATAACCTTCATAATTTCCACACTCTTTCTTTTTCCTCTTTTGTATTCTTCTTATTCACCATTGAACTTTGAACAACCTCATCAAATGGCTGCTCAATCCCCTCCCTCTTCTCTCGACCATGCCCTTCGTGATGTTGACGATTACGTTTGGGTCAGTTCTCTTCTTCTCTTCAATTTTATTTTTCGTTATTTTCTCGTTGAGCTGTTTGGTTGCTGAGAAAATGTAGCGCAGAAACTTCGCCTGGCGTGCATTGAATCCATTGATATTGCAGAATTTCGTTGTTACTCACTCACTTGTTTTGCTTCTTTTGTTTTGTTTTGATTGTGCTTCACACTCTTCTTTTTGGTTTTTAGCTTCTTCTTTTTTTCTCTTCTATTTTAGGTCACGTTTTCGTTATGAAGCGAAACTCATCGAGTGGAGAATTTCTGTTTTCTTTTTCTTCCACTAATGTCAAATGTGTTGTTTTCTTTTGTTTTTAGTGTTTGAGGATTTGTGATTATTGTGAAATCAGGATAAAGCATTCGCTACTTTTTGGTTTTCATTGACCGTAGTAGCTGTACTTACCATAAAGGTGTGAACGGCTTTTTCTTTAGGAGGTGTTTTCTTTTGTTTGCCTCTTTCCTCTTTCCGTGTCCAGTTGCTGAGAAGAGTATACGAAAAGACAAGTGCTCTTGTTATCTCACTTTACTTTTTCTCTTTAACACTTAATTGTTAGGTGAGAAATCCGAGGACAGGAAAAGACAGTCTAAATGTGATTCTTTTTTATTTTTTTTCTGTATCGAGTTATGGTTTTTCAGATATGCTGCTGCAAGATTAAAAGGATATAGTTTTCTAAATATCACATACTCCTCAGAATCTGGTTATTTTTCATACAAAAACTACCATAGTAACAAAGTTGTGAATACACCCTTCTGCTAAGCAACGGATAATTTTCTTCTTTGTTTGACATAGGCTCTAAATAGTGGTCATGTGAGAGAAGTTTATGTATGTGGAGGCTCCTCTTTTGTTAGTTTGAGTTCCAATTTGTGAGCAATATAGAGGATTGAATTCAATCATTCAGTTCTGTCTCCTTACGTATCAAACATTCATGAAGGTTGATGTGAATTTATAATTCTAACAAATCAACTTTTTCATTGAGAATCTAACATAAGAATGTGAGAACTCAACTTCGGTTGGATTGCAGGCAAATGAACCCGAAGGTTTGGCATCGGATACACTTCATTATGTGTATGAGCTTGTACAGAATGGCAATGCGGCATTTCGAGAGAACAGAATGGAAGAGGTGATTAAAATAGTGTGCAAATAACTTTTCCCTTAGGGTTGTTCTGTTGATTGTTGTTTTGAATGCAGTCCTTTCATATATGATGTTGCTTGCAATTCTTATTTCTGTCTCTACCGAAATTGGAATTATTAGAATGGAAGTATTAGAGCGGCATTTCATTAGAGTAATGATATATTCTCCCAAAACGTCCTCCTAATACTTAATAAAGATATATTAAATGGAAAATTACATTCATTTAATATCATGGAAACATAAAAAGCATTCAATACATTCTGTCAACAAGCAGTTCAACCCAAAAGCTTAAGGTTTTAGGTGAAGTCACATGAATAATTTTATATTATATTTCAAACACACCCCTCACGTGAGAACGTTTGGGCTTTGAAGCATGGATAACGCACCGAACCATATTTTTTTGTTACCTTGTGCTATTTTTATTTTGTTTACACTTTGTTACATTTATTTCTTGGTTCTTTACACTTTCTTTAATTAGTAATTAGGAGGATGGATTAGGAGTATATATAATTATTCTTTCATTAAACTATTTTGTCATGTGATATTAAGCTTTCTTAAAATATTAAATGGAAATGAGAATATTGGTTTATCGTATATAGCTTTATGTCAAGTAATTGGGAAGAATGGATCTTGTTCCATGCCAGTACTGTTCTGTAAGCAGCTACATGCAGTGGAATCTTATTTTGAATTCCTTTATTTATGTCTTTATTTTATCATACGATTCAAACAGAAGGTTTTATTCTTTATGTAATCATATTGTACTATTATGTCTATCATGCTTAGTTTTGTAGTTAACAAGTTTACGAAGTAGATCTTGATATGATTTCAGTACTTTTTATTTTAATTAGCAACTTTTATGGAGCTTGATTCACATGTCTTTTCTTTGCTTGTTTGATGTAAGTTAAATGAGTTGTTACTGGCAACAAGCCCTGCATAATATAATTAGTCCATTATCTTGACAAACTATTGATTTGGTGCTTCACTGTTTGCATGGGGAATATTAAGTGTTGTTCGATTGAGCCATATGTCATGCTTCAGTCTGTTAACAATTTTTTTGGTGTTCTTAATGTTTTTCCACTTCATACATGCTTTATTGCTGGAAAACACTCCCGAAATTCGGATGAGGGATGCAATTCTCGTGCTTTTCGAGCCATATTGCAAAACATTATGAAGATATGTTCAGGAATTAATTCATACACAAGGAGTTTTGATGCTTCATACTTTATCTTTCCAATGTTGACCTCTGTGATAATTTATTCAGGCAATCCGCTTTTACACAAAAGCCAATAACATCAAATCTGGTGATCCGATCATACTCAGCAATCGAAGCGCAACTTATATTAGGTGAAGCATAGTTCAAAATTTTTCTTTTAAATTACTTATTAGTTATTACACACTTTTTTATCATCTTCCAAATAATTTGCTTCAGTTTTGTAAAGTTCAGTGGTCTCATGGCAATCTTGACACTATCCATTCAGGATTAGCCAATATTTAATGCACAGAACATCGTCATCTTCAGAGCATAGGCCATTAAGTGGGCTTGATCCCACAATACTTGCCGAAGTATGTTCTATTGCATCATTTTTATCATGCTGAAATATTATTGAATTTCTAAATTGATTTGCACCTACTAAGTTGATTCTTGACAATCATTTCAGCTGGGTTTGAAGGATGCTGAGAAACTTGTTGACCTCCAAAGTAATTCAGTAAAATCTTACCTTTTAAAGGCCAATGCTCTTTTTCTGGTAAGAGTGTCACACTCTCTAAATCAGTTAATCTCCCTTGTAATTTATGGGGTAGCCCCTGATATTTTTCTTTTTTGGAAATATATGGATTTATGCTTGGTATTTATTATAAAAATATAGGGTTTTTTTTGGGGGGTGTGTGTGCGTTTGATAGACATTTTGTTAGGAGGTTTACATACTTTCTCCTTTTTAGGCTCCTTGAATTTTATTTTATTTTATTCTTTTTATGTATTTGTGTTTTAACTCACGTCACTAGTTCAGGGGTATTCTCCCACCTTGGGTCTATACCTACTTGACAGTGAACTCTTGAATGAAGGGCAAGTGTGCTGTTGGACATGACTGATGTTATAGTGATTCAATAGAATAATAAAGGAAAATGGCAAACTTGTTTTAGTTATTGCCAGTGAGTTTTAAATAGAAGCCACTTTTACAATTGTGGTTAATTCTATCTGAAACCCACCAGAAAGTAGACAATGAACCTAGGTTGTCAGTAACGGCCCGTAGCGCCGCTAAACTGCTACAGTAGCAGGTAGAGGCGGCTGGCCGCTACAACCGCGACCCGACCCTGGTGGGTAGCGGAAGGTAGCGGCGTAGCATAGCGGCTTGTACAGGTGTGCAACACGACGCTACCCACTATTTGATATTGATTGTGGAATTATGTGTTTGATTTTGTGGAATTCATTGTTCATTTGTGTTTAATTTTGGATCCTTCCTTTATGTTCCTTGTATTTTACATTGATTGTGGAATTATGTGTTTGATTTTGTGTGACTTCTTATGTTTGAGCATTTATATTTGTGTAGTATTAGACTGTTAGTATAATATATGTGGAATTAATACTTCACCGTAGCGGCAATACCGCTACCCGCTACACCGCTATACCATTTTCGGATCTGGCCGCTAACTGTTACTGACAAGTATGCCATGAACATTATTTGGGTTTTTCTTCTAATAAACCGAACAAGTGGTTGCAACTGGGATTATAAAGAAGCTCGTTATATTTTTATCATATAATGTGCTTTTATTATGTTCTGGATCTTTTATGGTTATATGGTAATATTATGCTGAGTGCCCTGACTGCCCTACTAAACATCACTAATTAATTTTGGGGCATTATTTTGCTTCATAGTGAGTTTGAAGGTGTGGAATTTGCATAGTATGGAATGCTTGCGAAAGCCAGATGTCTTAAGTGAGTTCTATTGTGTATGTCCTGTGGGTGTAAGTGTTCTATGGTACAAAAAATTGTTTTACCTTGTGTGTTTGCCCATGGTTAATGGCATATCCTTTTCTTAAGTTTTAACACTTGCCTCTATGGATTGACTTTATATTGTGATGCTGTCCACATTGAATGTAACTTGACCTGATATTGTGTTAAACTGACAGTTGGAGAAATATGAGGATGCCCGGGATGCTATTCTTTCAGGCCTTCAAGTTGATCCTTTTAGGTATTACACATTTGCGAGTCTTGTCGCATTTTTTTTTTTTTTTTTAATTTATATTATTTATATCCCTTTTGGAAATGTAGATGGTATTACACATTTGCAAGTCTTGTCGCATTTTTATCTTTTTAATATATCCTTTTTTTTTTGGATACAATAATATATCCATTTTTAGTTGCAAGTCTTGTCGCACTTAATTTATATGTAGTTTTTGCAATAGTTTTTTATTGTACTACATCATGAGTTCTTTTTCAATTCTTTTGAAATCATGTAGTAATTCTCTTCGGGCTTCTCTTCAAAATTTGGAAAGGGTGTCATCTAGTTCAACAGGGATGAGTACACATGGACAAATAGAGCGTAATGATGACTTTGATTGCACTCTCTGCCTGAAGTTACTGTATGAACCTGTTACAACCCCTTGTGGACATTCTTTTTGCCGTTCTTGTCTATTTCAGTCAATGGATTGTGGTTAGTGATAGCTTTTGGTGTTTATATTTTCCATGGGAATCCATATTTTCCTTGTTATGTTGATTCTTGTCCTCATTTGTTAGGGAACAGATGCCCATTGTGCAGGACAGTTCTATTTATTAGTCCTAGAACGTGTTTCATCAGGTGAGTTGTCTATATGATGTCACAATGTAATGTAGACTACCACATAAAAGGTTTGGATTACTATATTTTTCTTGTTATAGTTGGTAGTGGCATAGTTATTCACTAGTTCCAACTATAATATATTGAAAGGCCACTTGCCAAACATTGGGCAATAGCAAGTTACTTTCTTGAGCAACTTTTCTTGCTAAATATGTGGCATTGTCTAGGCCCCAAACTGATTGAAAAGAAATGCATGTTTCCAATACCCTTTTGGTGATTGGTGAATCCCTTTGATAGGCATATCTTATGGGCTTATGAGGATGTGTTTATCTGAACTCAGTTTAATATTAGATGTTGTGGTCAAATAAAAGTTCTAATAGATTTGATTCACAGTTATTTTTTTCTTAATTTATGTTACTATCAACTGTTTCTAGTGTGACATTGAAGAACATCATACAAAAGAACTTTCCCGAGGAATATGCTGAAAGGAAGCAAGAGCAAGATGGTTTAATCAACGTCGGTGTAGATTTTCTCCCTCTTTTTGTCATGGATGTTGTCATACCATGTCAAAAGTTTCCACTCAATATATTTGAACCTCGGTATAGACTTATGGTGAGTTAGCCAACGGATGCTGATGGTCACTAGAGATTTTTAAATTTTAATATATCTTGAATGTTCAAGTTGGTGATTTGTTTTCTCGGGGTTTGTGCTTAAGAAATAGTAGGGTCTTTTTCAGTGCAATCTGCCAGATGTTGGTGAGGAGTTGGGAGGGGCATGCAATTTCATACAAATTAAAATATTTGAAAAATATATACTAGGAAATTTTTGTTAATTATTATAGATATGAACATTGTTGCTAGTTATAAAAATATACAGAGAAACTTATACCAAATGTTTTAACATAAATACTGAAAATATTCTTATTCATGAAATGATTTCTTTATATGAATTATTTTAATTATATTTTGAATTACAAAATTTGTATTTACAATTGACATCTATGGAGCACTTGATAAGAAAAATACAACTCGGGGCTTTTTGATTGTTAGGTTGTTATAAAGCATAGATAGATCTAAAACTTAGTATTTCAGTTAATAAAATTATGAATTTATGATAATGACAAAATTAATACAACATGATGTAACAAGTATTCTACTTTTTTTCTATTTTTTTGAGTGAAAAACAAGTATACTAATTGATACAGGGAAAAAATCGGAAAATTATCTTAAAAATTTCCAAAAAAGATTCTTAATTTCAAATTGATTGTATGTATATTTATGATGTTATTTCCATTCTCGTTTTTCTTTTTTTAATAAAATAACTAAGAAAAAAGTGTTATATTAAACATAGTTAAAATGCTTATATGTATACATCACAAATATTTTATATGTGTATTACATAAGAGTAAATAGTCTTTGTCATTTACTATATATTTTTAAAGAAGATAGAAATTTATATTTGTTTTTTGAATGAAGAGATGGGGTGGGTGGGGGAGCAGTTTGGAGCTGTACAATAACCAATGATCTCTATCAGCAAGAATGCTGATGTGAATACAATTTATTCTTAGTTTTTGAGTGGTAAGTGGAAGCAAATAAATAAATAAATGGATTTCTGGTTTTCTTCATTAGTTTAAATAATTATACAACAGAGGACATTTTGTATTCTTAATTTATAATTGGTGTGCTCTTTATTCAAAACTTCAGTACCTGATAGGATTCTAGGAATAATTTTGAATGATTCTGGTTAAGCTAATTGACCATTTTATTTATAGCACACGATTGCTACATTTTGGACAGGTGTGAGATAAATGGTGACTAGTGATATGTTTTGTGTAAACTTTGTATATTATTTTCAAATTTGCATAAAATCTGTCAGTAGACACTAATCTGGGAAATATTTGGCATATTTGATTTATGGAATAATCCGTAAGTATATATATTCAAATGGTTTGAAACTCTGAATGCCATCATATCTCTGATTTAATTATTTTTTTGAAAAAAAAAACAGGTGAGAAGAATAATGGAAGGGAATCATCGGATGGGAATGGTAGATTATTTCGCTTATCACTTTCTTTCCCCTTTCTTGCTTGAGTCATATAATTGGACTTACCATTTCCATTTCTTACTATGCATGGCTTGTCTGTTGATCTTGTAGGTTATAATTGATTCTTCAACAGGTTCCTTAGCTGAGTTTGCCTGTGAAGTGGAAATCACAGAGTAGGTGCTTGGTGTCCTTCTAACCTAAAAATAAAAATCTCAAATACATATCCTCCCCCCCCTCCCCCCTCCCCCCTCTGCCCACTCCCCCTCCCAACCAATGAAATCCCTTCTCTTGTATTGTATCTCACATGCTTTTAATAAACTTATCTATTTGATGGTGTAGGTGTGAGCCACTTCCTGATGGTCGTTTTTATATAGAGGTGAAAATTGAACTTATTTCTCTAAGTATTTTTCTGGACTCCTCTTCTTTAGTTATGATACTTAATTGGTGGAGATAATGTATGGAAGTTAAGTTTTTTGGTCTTGCTTTCAACTTTCAACAAGGAAACTGTTGTAAATATTGTAATTATTTCTGATTTGATTTTGATGGGCCTGAGATAATTAGTTAGTTAGTTAGTTAGTTAGGGAGTTATTCTAGAATATTCTCAACTAGTAGGATATAAGGAGGGGAGTGTGGGAATGTGAGGTATGCGTGTATTCAGTATTGGCTTATGGGGAAATTGGGGATCTCTGGGAGTTGAGATTTCTAGGTTTATTTTCTGCATTTTATCCTTGTAAGGAGTTTGTCTCCATTTATATTTTCTGCAATTCCATATTAATACAAGTAGGTTCCATCAGATTCTCTTTTATTGGATGGATTAGCTTCCCTTATTATAGGATTTGATTATTTCCCTGTTTTTAGCCTTAAATTAGGAAAGTCATCATTAAGATACATTCTCATTCAGGTTTATATATTGTAACCCTGTGTACATGACCACTTATGAAATAATAGTCAGTATTTTCCCATATTTCAACTGAGATACTTCTTTCTTTCTTTTCTTGGCAGTCTCTTTTTGTTGTTCTTCCTTTATTTTCTAAGAATCTCTCTTGGGCAGTTCTCCTTATCACAAAAGATTCCCTGTCTGTGAAATGCTCACTTTTCCTAACCCAGAAACTAGATCTAGGATTTTTCATTTGTATTTCTTTATGTAGCTTATTTAGGAGGGCTTACCTTTTTATCAATGGGGATTTATGTAGTTGATAAGATATTGCATAACCCACGTGAGCTGAATTTTAGGAATAGTTTTCTTAAACTAAGCTGAGATTAGTTAGAATGGTTATTATTGATTATAAACTGTACGAATCTCCGTTATAAAGCAAAGAAGCTGTATTTAGTCATGGTGTGGATTGTCTGCACTGTTCTCATATGGTTAACCCCATCATTTTCTGACAATATGTTTTGATGAATTCAGGAAGCAATTTATTGTAATGTATAACTTAAACTTGTTTAACCATACTTGCCAAAAAGTCTAAAAGAATTTCTTGGACAACTGGTAAGTTGTGCAAGTTCACTCTAAGAGTCAGTATTCATGGTGTTTCTGTTGAGATATATAGTCCCACATTGGTTGTATGTGTAACTAATGTGGAGTTTATAAGGCCTTGGGCACTCCCACCCCTTGAGCTAGCTTTTGGGGTGGTGTATCTCAAGGTTCTTTACATGGTATCAGAGCCTCGCCGTCCCCCACTTTCTCTTGTGGAATTTCTTAGCACAGGTAGGTTGGGCCTGTTGCGTCATCCACTCTTCAAGCCCAATGGGCTCTTGTGTGAGGGGGCGTGTTGAGATATATAGTTCCACATTGGTTGTATGTGCAACTAATGTGGAGTTTATAAGGCCTTGGGCACTCCCACCCCTTGAGCTAGCTTTTGGGGTGGTGTATCCCAAGGTTCTTTACATGGTATCAGAGCTTGAGTGACTATAAGGTCACAAGTTCGATTCTCATGGCCCTTATAGTCACTCAAGCTCTGATACCATGTAAAGAACCTTGGGATACACCACTCCAAAAGCTAGCTCAAGGGGTGGGAGTGCCCAAGGCCTTATAAACTCCACATTAGTTGCACATACAACCAATGTGGGACTATATATCTCAACAGTTTCTCATTTTAATTTGGTCACTGATGAATTGGTGTTGATGGTCCAAGGATACTTTTGAGGCACCTAAGAAATTTCCATTTTTATTCTGGATTCTATTAAATTAGACTTGCTTTTTCTTTAATTTTTTTTTAATATTTCAATGTGTAAGAAAGCATGATTTTGTGCAGATTGAAAGTCGCAGAAGATTTCGCATCATCCGTTCTTGGGATCAAGATGGGTGAGTTGTCTCTGGGTATTATATAACAAATTCTCATGCTGTTGCTTTATACTGTAATGTTATATGCAGGTATCGTGTTGCAGAGGTTGAATGGATACAGGATATTATGCCGCCAGAAGGGACAAGAGAAAGAGAGGATGTAAGTTCACTGTAATATTGGCATGCATTTGTTTGTAAGCTTTCTGTCATGTTGGATAGCATACTGATTTATATGACAGATATATAAAGCTTGAAGTAGTATAGGCTTCTTTGGAGATAGACTGGCAGGTTTAAGTAAAGAATACTATCATATGTTATAGACTGATAAATTAAGTAAAGAATGCTATCATAAGTTATTAGGACATGTTGTTGTTGGGTGTTTTAGAATTTTACTTCAATAATAGGCTGTTTGTAATTTGAAAGACTTTGGTCTTGGATGCAACAAGTAAGGGTGTGAACAGTTTGGTTTGGTTCTTTTTTTTTATCCCAAACCGAGCTAGTTTTATACAGTGGTTTGGTTCTTGAATGGTTCGGTTCTTAATCTGCTTTGGAAAAATATAGTGCGGTTCAGTTCGGTTCATTTGGTTTTTTAACGCTCCTACGAGTGAGTATGGTTCAGTTCGAACCAAACCAGTTTTGAAGAAATGGTTTTGTTCTTAAACCAGTTTGAAGAAAATAGTTCGGTTTTTAAACCGGTTCAAAAAAATGTAGTTCTTTTTGGTGCGGTTTAGATCGGTTCACGTTTCGGTTTAGTTCATTTAGTTTTTTTTCACACCCCTGACCGGTATCTTTTTATGACTAATTGACTAATTAACTAATTAACTGTTATGACTAACCAATCTGTCATACTAACTAGTTCGATATTGTTCATCCTATGTCCAACCTTCGTCCTTCAAACATACATCTTGGTAATTGGGAGTTTGCTAACAGATTGTTCTCAAAATTTATATTCCTCAATATTTATTTTCAAATGTTAAGCTTTAGCTATAAGTCTGATGATCCTTTACATTGAATGCATTATTGTAACAAATTTCCCTCTTTCTAAGTAATAACTTATTGTTATATTGTTACAGTTACAGGAATTGACATATAATGCAGCAGAAAGTGCTCGATCATGGATAAGAAGAGCTAAAGAAGCAGCAAGACAAGGTAGCTTTTAAACCATAATTATACTATATTTATATAGAACTTCTTTGTATATTGTGTTGAGTGAAAACCGAAATATATTGGTCATCTCCTCTTTCTCCAAGAAAAAGGGGGTGGGGGAGCAGAAGAATTATTTCCAACACTATCATGGGACTCTGAAATTCGGTGTCTGTGTTATAGTATGTGTTATCCCATTTTACTAAATGGGGATGACCTTATTTTTCTTCTTTTGCACTTTTACAAATGGCGTTGGACTGCTACAGTACTAAACTAGAGAAATATCAATACAGATCAAAGAAGACTTGAGAGACTCCAGATGGTTGAAGCAATGATACCCTCGCTACGGGACCCAGAGCGCTTTAGTTTTTGGGTGACTACATATCTGAGACTTGACATCAGTTTTTTCTTTGTTGGTAAAAACATTAGCTTTTGCTACTTTTATTGCTATGTACTGATGTATCCATGATTGCAGCTGGCTACCCTCTCCAACAGGAGGCCTTCGGAAAGATTGGATCTCTTACGCATAAGAGATACCACAGAGGTATTAAGCCATTTTTTAGAATATAGGAATAAATCAGAGGGGGTTGTTAAATTCGATCTTCTGATAATGTATTTTCTTCTGTAGCTTCATTCTATGGCTAGGTACTTCCGTAGTTACATTGTTATACCCTTATACTTCTCTGTTCTCCTATAAAAATATTTCCCTTTTTGTTTTCTTGTAGAGGATTAGACGAGGCCTGATATTTCTCCGAGCTGAGGAACAAGGCTGCAGAATTCAGTAAGAAAAGTCAAGGAGGGCTACCATTATTATCACAATTGAAAATTTGTTTATTACAAATCCATTTACAAGTCAATCGCTATTCTTTGGCCTCATAAAATGACTGTTAATGAGGTCATTTTTGTTGTAACATAGGGTTGAACCCAGTTTTTCTAATATATATAATTATCTACAAAAACATTTCTTATTGGTCATATGATTTTTTGCAAATGTTCATTGTTTTTGTTTTGAATTAGTATGTTGGTGAATACATACGTAAGAATTCAAATCATATTTTGAATAAGTAGGAATAATTTAGAGAGATATCCAGCTCAGAAAATACCACTTAAACTTATTAGGACTTATTGTCTTAAGGAACTTGTTGGCAGCGCAAATCAAACTTCCGTTAAAAAAAAAAAAAACATGCAGGCTTTAAAAAATTGGCTTTCACCGGATTTAATCACCAAAGAGTACCCCCTTAGATCTGCTCTCTCTAGTGTCTTGGATTTGAGGGATAGTACAAACAGTACAGTGCAATAATTGTAATATCAATGGATAGAAAAAAGCTAAATTTTATTGTAATAGCATTTGTGGAGGAATAGATGTTATTGGCCTTTTTTTTTGTGTTATGGACAAAAATTCTGTAACTTTGTTTAGTAACAAGAAATTAGGGATTTATGCTATCACTTGAGCTATTTTTTGTCTTCTACTTATACTATTTGAACAAAAACACAAGGCTATGGTGTTGATAGATTTGTGTTAATATGTTATGGAATGTGGAATATGCTTTGCAACTGAACTGCTGCATCACAGATTGATGCACCTGAAGATAAACACGCAAATATTGTTGCATCTGGAGTCTAGATAGAAAATAACAAGAATGAAGATCACTCAGACTCTGTTGCTGTATGCAAGTGATGCGTCTGATATCACGGTGCTTTGTTTTAATAAATGGCTAATACAGTGGATAATCCAAAAGGTAAAGCTACCTGCAGTTATATATTTTTGTAAAGTTTCTCTAACTAGTAACTCGTATTTGTTTAAAGAAAAAGGTACAAAATTTATATTTTATTTAAAAATGTTGATAAATGAGTAAGAAAAATTATGTTTGCTTCTGGTAGTATAAAATTGGGTCAGTTGCCATGATCAAATGACGTTAGAGTCTGCATCAATTTTTTAATCAGATCGAGATGCTTCATCCTCTAATACCAACTTTTTAATCAAATCTGCATATACATTTTTTTAATATTAAAATTAGTCTAACATTCTATTTCCTGATTAAATTTAACAATCGTAAATTACTAAAATATTATTAAAACTAAATTATTACAGAATGTGTTTGGCCTTTTCTTTTTATCTAAAAATAGTGTAGAGGCTACTAACCTCCAAATGGAAGTGTGAAGGTTAGCAATCATATATAAGTATATAGAGAGACGAACAAGATAATCTTTTATGTGAAATATTACTCTCTTTTTCTTAAAACATGTGACTTTATCATTGTTTGGCACCTATTTTATGTTTCTTAAAAATATTCAAGTTATTAAAATTTTCAATTTTTAATATTATTCACCCCCCCCCCCCCCCTTCTTCAAATATCAGCTTCTTAATACCTTTAAAGTGGTTATTTTTAATTCTTTTTCTCTCCAAATCTTAACTAATACTCTCAAATTATTTTCTTTGAAATTTTTATTTTTGCATAAAATTTGTCCTTTCTCCCTAAATTTCAATTGTTCTACTGAATTAGAGCATATTATCATGAGGCAGGTTATATTTACAAACTTTTTTGTTTACAAACTACACTATATTCTCCCGGGAAAACACTGATTACACTATGTTCTCCTTTGTAAAGTTTTTATAAAAAAGTTTGTAAACAGATCCTTCTCCTATATATATATATATATATATATATGAGATTACCATTTCTCAAGCTGCTTGAGATAACTTTATCTCCTGCCACTAAATCATAATTGTATAAAGATGGATCAACGGTGTGATAAAGGAAGAGAGAAAAAATGGAATCATAACCATTCAAAGGTGAATCAATTAATATAACGAAATAAATAAACAAAACGACATAGCTTGGGGTGGCTGGAGATAAACTTATCTCAAGTTGCCGGAGAGATGTTTTTCCCATACATATATATATATATATATATATATATATATATATATATATATGGGAAAAGTGTGTATAATTTTAAAGGATGTAAAGTTGTGTCATTTTAAGGGAGAGAAAGAGATAGAGAAAGGAGGAGAGAGAGTTGACCAAAAAAAATAAAGGTGTGGGTCTCACCTCTTTGTGAGAGTGAAAGGATGTAAGTTGTGTAATTTAAAAGTATATACACTTTTCCCTATATATATATATATATATATATATATATATATATATATATATATAACTTATTGTTTCTCAAGCTGTTTGAGATAATTTTATCTCCGGTTACTAAATCATAACCGTACAAAGATAGATCAATGGTGTGATAAAGAAAGAGAGAAAAAGGAAACCATAACCATTCAAAGGTGAATCAATTAATATAAGGAAATAAATAAACAAAACGACATAGTTTGGGGTGGCCGGAGATAAATTTATAAGAGTTATGTTATAGAAAAAGTAATTATGTAATGTTATAGAGATTCGTTTTGCGTGTCTTAGTTTTTTTTATTGCTTTAAAAAATACGGGCCTCACAAAATATTATGTGTGTAGTAAAATTTTTCTTGTCATGTTAAATGACAAACTAAAATCCCATTTACTAATCACATTGAAATGGTTGCCGAAATTGCCGAAACATGAGGAATTTATCGAAGTTTTAATCTATAATGCCTAAAGAGATATTATTGCATGTTAGGTAATGCCCACTATCATAGTCTAAGTTAATTATTCCAATATCTGAACAACACGATATTCTTTTAGAAACTTGAAATAGTATTTGCTTGGATTAAAATTCACAAGAAAAACGACAACTAAGTTTGTTCTCTCTCTCTCTCGCTCTCTCTATTTTTAAAAAATATAATATTAAAGTTTTAAATCAAACTTAACAAAATCAAATTTAGCCATAAAATAATTAAGAAAATGAACTGACACTTTTTTATATGTTTATTGAATTTCCATAACGCTCCTAACTTGTCAAATTTTGTCTCTACACATCTTTCTTTTCCTTTTTTGTATAAAAGAAAAAAAAATTCTGAATCCCCAGATCTTGCATGATTGTTATTTTGTATTCAATCACCTAATTACAATTAAATTTCAGTTAGAATATCACCGAATGTGTTGACATCTCACCAAGGGAAGCAAGTAGAACTTAAACATGTCTAATTAGATAATATTCGCTTTATATTATTATAACAGAACCAAATCAGTTCAAATTACATGATAAGGTCTAATCTAATCCATAATGGAAAACTCTCTAACAAACTAACTAGGTCAACCTACGTCTCTTCATACCTCACCAACACCAACTGAATGATGCTTTCACCAAAAATGAAGAAAATCACTATGCTTATGCTTCTTCCTCATTGGCCACCAATACCTCCGACTCATATTAGAGCTCAACCCATTTTCCACATCCATTAACAATGTTTGTAGGGATGTACATGGATCGAACCGAACCGGATTTTTTGAAAAATCGAACTGAATTGGTTTAAAAGATTTGGTTCAAAAATAGTTCGGTTCAAAACTAGTTCGGCTCAGTTAGAAATGGTTCGGTTCAGAATCAGTTCAGATCGACTCTAATTTGAAAAGAAAAAAAATTTAAAATTTAAAAAATAAAGTTATAAAAATCAAGTTGGTTCGGTTTGAAAACGGTTCGGTTCGGTTCAAAATGGTTCGGTTCTTAAACTGGTTCTAAAAATCGGTTCGGTTCATGAACTTGTCTTAAAAAATCGGTTCGGTTCATGAATTGATTTTTAAAAACCCCTTATTTTAAGGGCGGTTAGGTTCATGGTTCGATTCAATTTTTTGATTATTTTGCACACTCCTAAATGTTTGACATTCATTTGTTTTAATATTGGAAAAAGTGTTTGTCATTTTAAATGACAGAAAGTTATGTCATTTTACGAGAGATACAGACATAAAAAATTTAAATTTTAAATTAAAAAAACCACTCACTTTCTCTCTTTCATGATTTCTATTTTTCTGTGTCTATCTCTCTCCTAAAATGACATAACTTATGTCATTTAAAATGACAAACACCAAACCCTTTAATATTAAGGGATATGGTATTATAACTATTTTTTTTCATGTTTACTTTATCTATTTTTTTTTTAATATCGTTAAATCACAATCTCAACTAACAGTGGAGAGAGAGAAATAATATAAGTTTGTTGAAATTGTGATATAATAGTATCAAAAAAAAAAAAAAATAGGTCAAATAAGCATAAAAAAATATTCCTAATATTAAATTGACGGTAAGGATTTGTTGTATTCATATTATGTTGGGGTTTTTTTTTTTTCTAATAATTGTTGATGGAAGTAGAAGGGAAATCATTTTTATATACCTTTTTTTTTTGGTCCTGTATATAATTGCTATTATATCTTGCAAGCCACGTTCACTTCTTATATCACGTGAAAAGAAAAGTGCCAAAACAGGGTCACAATTTATTACTTTATTTTGCACTCATGTCTTGAGTATTTCTTTAAATATATTTCTAGCACTCGCGTCCAAGAAATATATTTAAGTCATGATAAGTTATTGAAATGACACTTGAATTTCAAGGATAATGGGTTGATAATTGAAAGATTGAATTTTGTGATGATTTAAATATATTCATTGGAGTTAGCCAACAATAATAAGCTAGAAAATGATGTGCATTTTAAGCAAGGACACATTTCATGATCAAGACAAAGACCAATAAGCCTGTCATACCAAATTACTTATTGCTAATATATTAATTCATTGACGTCATGTGAAAGGTGCCCTCTAAAACACTTAAGCTGGTGGGGATTCTCAGAACATAAAAGGACCCACAAAATATGTCAAAATAATTAATCTTGTTGTAAAAACCAAAAAAAAAAAAAAAAGAAAGAAAAAAAAGTGAAAATCCAAACAACTCCACCTTGGATGTAGTTAGTTTGTTCTTGTTAGCCTATCCATTCCTTCAAAACACCAACCTCTTAAACTCTCCAACCTAACCTACCAAAAATCAAGAACAAACCCAAAATAAAAACTTGGGATAGAAAAGGAAAAACCAATTAACAACACTTATAGAGTCCTCCATTTGTGAGAATTGAGAAGCCACTCAATTCATCACCCTCTCCCTCTAGCTGCAAGAAAAAAAAGAAGAAAGAAAAAGAAGATCAATTCCAATGGAAGTTTCAAGCAAGATTCTCAGAAGATCAATTCACAGTTTTCTTCAAAACTATCATTATTTCACCTCAACCACAGCTTTTCTAGCCTTTCCATTCTCAGCTTCAATACTCCTCTCACAAGCTTTTGTCCCTTCTACTTCATCCCTCCTACCTCAAATATACAATCACCTAAGAACCCTGTTTGATGCTGCAGGCTTTCCCTCATCATCACAATTGTTTACCATTCTTAACCTTAAAGTTTCTCAAACAATCACTTCCTCAATATTCACCCTTCCTTTCACCCTCACTTTTCTCCTCATTGCAAAAGCATCCATAATTCTAGCTCTTAATCAACATAAACCAACTTTGCCACCTTCCTTCACTTCTATAATATTCCATTACAAGCCACTCCTCCACACCTATATCTTCAACTTTTTCTTCATTCTCTCTGCATATGCAACTTCTTTTTGCATCCTTTTTTTCGCATACGGCTTCGCGGAAGGGCTAGGATACTCTTCCCCAAGTTGCATACTTTTACTCTCAGCTGCAGCTGCAGTTCTCTTTTCAGTGATCCTTGCCAATGCACTTGTGGTATGCAACATGGCACTGACTCTATCTGGAATGGAGGCACATGGAGGGTACATGGCAATTCTGAAAGCTTGTGTTCTTCTAAGGGGAAGAACATCAATGGCTTTGTTACTAGCATTGCTTGTCAATGTAGGCTTGGCTTCCATTGAGGCCTTGTTTCAATTCCGGGTTGTAAGAGCCTATCATATTGGTGGAAAGTCATGGCCTTCTATGGCATTAGAGGGCATTTTCATTGCTTACTTGTACTCAATTCTCATCATCATTGACACAATTGTTAGCTGCATGTTTTACAAAAGCTGCAAGATGGGATCATGGGTTGATCAGGAAGACAAACTTTTGTCGAGGATCGAATTCCCTGATGAGGACAGTAATGGTTACATGGGATTCAAGAATTTTGAAGAACTTCCATAAATAACATAAGGTGGTAGCATTTTGTTATTCTTGATTTGGTCAAGGCTTTTTATCATATGTTTCACAAAAGAAAAGGAGCTAGAAGTTATTTTAAGCTATATAGCAGGTATTTGAAAAATTCATTCATGTTACTCGAACCAAATCGAGCAACTTCAGAAGGGACAAAGGTTTTTAACAGAGAAACCTCACCTCAGCTATGTGCAAAAACAACGAGTTAGAGATTAGTTCACCATTTTATTTTTATTCCAACACTTTCGCTTGTAGATTGATGGATAATCTTTTACAGTGTGAATAAATACAATGGCTTTTGTTTATTTCCTTGCATTTTCGAACGTGTAGTTAGGCGAATACTTTGCATCTTAATGTTTCAAGCAAATAAAAAAGCGACACAATTTCTTATATCTGATTGTTAATTTTCCTTAGAACAATTTTTTTTTTCTCAGTCCGTGAAAGACAAACTAGAGGCAAAGTGATTTTTACTGGTTTGTTTTCAGGCGAAAAATAAAATGACTTTGCTATGTGGAGCCCATGAAGAATATGTTTCATTTTGCATTAACTCAAGCCTCTTAATTCTCTTTCAAAACGCATGTGACCATCTAAGCGTCAAAACCAATGAATGATACTGTGCTGATATTAGTATATTATGATCCGAATACATGGGATCATTGAACGGAAATAAGCTCGGAGCAATCATGTGGACTCTATACCATGGAACTCATATTTAGCTGCAGAGAAAGCTGAAATACTGTCATACAGTTCGACAGGATTTTAGTGTTTTAAAAACAGACTTTTAGACTTAGAAAGAATATTTCCAACTGATTCAGTAAGAGTTCAAGACCACAAGTTAAGGAAATGCAAATGCTCTCTGGAATTTTCTGTATGAAAACAAGGATCCATGAATTCAACTAATGAGGCAAACCTTAATGCAAGGTAAACATGTAAATTGGGATAGCAAAGAAGTTAATACTTACCACCCTTACCCTTCATCTCCCCGGGCACAATTAGATATTAAAGAAGTTAATGGATGGAAGTCACTCCTAGGAATGAAATGCAAACATATTTCAGCAATTGGACATTCTAAATTTTTAATGACTCTGGCAGCGCCTGTTGTACTGTAATAACTCTAGCAAACTAACAAATAAAAACCCAGCATGTAAGAGAAAACGGAGTTACAGATGCATGGAACATGTTTCTCAGCAGATGCAACTAGTGAGGTACCTCCCGGACAGCACCACTAAATAGCTACTACTTACACTGCCTGTGTGAATTTGCAATGTGTCTTTCTTTCTATTACCAAAATGTGTGCACGTAGTCCAGGGTGCTAAATTTCATGACCTGGGCCTGGGACAACTGAATGAAACAAGAAGCTTTTACACTTCACTAATGTGTATTGCATTTCACAAGATAAATGAAACTAGTATTTCTAACTCGGCCTGCTTTTCACTTATATTACAGTTACAATACAGAGACCTGATTCCTAATTCTTTCCTTAACCTGGCAGCTATACAACATCCTCTTGGGGGTATCCTACCTACTAAAAGGAACAAAAGAGAAACTAATTTCTATATTACATGAGAAAGAATTGGATCCTAAAGAAGCGGGTTAGACTTTGTACAAGGTTTCATGGTGCTACTGTTGGACTTTGGTGCTTCACAATCCAAAAGCATGTGACCTGGTGCTGGAAAAATATGTCCAATGAATGATGAAAGCCAAAGCCAGTTCTACTGCAATAGAAGACATGTTCTACTTCAAAATTTCTTCTTAAATCGAAGGACCAGATCCATCATCTTCATAGCATTCACCGGATGCAAACGGATTCTCAAGCGATCACAGTAAGCATCCTTGCTGGGTCTAAATTTGGCCTTTCCAGAGTATTCTGCCGTGAAAGATCAACAAAGTTCTGATCCAACAACATTTCATCAAAGAATCAACTCCTAAGCCTTTCGTATGTTCGAAGGTCTGCAGGTGGCAAGAACTTGCCATTCCACCTTGACAGGCTTATTGTCACACCATCATCTTGGAAAGGGAGGCTACTCAACTCGATCTAAGATGCAGTGCCCTTACTACCCACAGGTAGATCTCTGCTCTTCAGCAAGAGAATGATGTTGGTGCAAGAGAGCAGACAACCACGTCTTCAGCTATCTTTTGCACTCTTCCATGTCAAGATAATGCCCTTAGCCTTCTCCATTTCAGCCTCTTTCTCAGCTTTCTTCTCTATCTTTTGCACTCTTCCTCGTCAAGTTAGTGCCTTTAGCCTTCTCCGCCTTCTCCATTTCAGCCTCTTTCTCAGCTTTCTTCTTCTCCAACTCTGCTTGTTTGCAATTCTCTTCATGTGCTTTCCGAAACAACCTTATAAAATTTAAGAGAGTTGCAGTAACTGCAATAATCAGAACAGCAACAGAAATAAGTTAGTTTCGGCATTATAGAATAGATAATCGAACATATCACTTATTTTTTCCAAACAAAGCATTAAACATGCAAGAACGATGAAACTACATTCAGACCTGTCATTCTCTTGACTTTTCTCCTCCATTTATCTGATTATTCCTTAACTATTCTCTCCCTCACCTGCTTTTCTGTCATCATTTTCCTTTTTTCATAAAGTTCTTAGACTAAGATCCAAGAAGGACAGACACTTCTGTCAATTTTCAGCGACTTATTACTACACCTACCACAATCAAAGAAGTTTTTTTTTGTAGCTCAATGCAGATTCCATTAAAAACAGATTAAATGGGCACAAACCAACTTCCTAAACCCAGAGACAAGAAAATCAGACATTTAAATTAGCCTAATTTCTTAAAAAATACATACTTGTCCCAACCGCAAATGCAACAAAAAAGTCAAGTAAATGCATTTTCTCCATATACATCATTTAAATGAATTATAATCTGATAAAATTGGCACATCGGTTGATGTTGTTCCCATATGAACTGGAGGTTGTAGGTTTGATTCATTTAATCAGCCTCTTGCAAATGCAAGATAAGTCTTCCTATTATAGATCCACACAATGGGTGACCCTTTCCTAGACCCTATGCATAGGGGGAGTTTTGTTGCAAGAGGCTGCCTTTTTTATGATCCGATATAAAATGGAAGTCAACAGTAGAAAGACAATGGCCATATGTCATTCTGAGAAAAAGAACTCAGCCTACCTTGCTCAAATGGACAACGGGCAGGATCCTCGCCAAAATATAGTGCAAGTGCATCTGCATTTCTACCCTGTCCACGGACAAATCACACAATCTTTATATCCGTTGGTATACCTGAGCATAATCTACCACAAAGATGGTTAAGCATATTACCACAACAGAATATAGGTTTGTTACAAATGCTACCTCTGACTCAGCTACATCAATGAATCCTTTCAATGTCTGAAAAGCATGTAAAAGTGAGTCAAATGCACTGAAAATACAAACCACACGACAAGGCATATAAACTGAAATTAGCTTCATGAATGCAATATGATGGAGAATGTTCACTTCTTAAAAAAAGTTTAAGCACTCCTTAATTTTGGTTAGACACATAATCAATGTTTATGCAAGACTAAAGTAACCGATGGAGAGAAATATTTTGTCAAAACATTTTATCTTTTAGAGATATAAAAAAACCATTCATGTGTCTTCACCTAACAGATTAAGCTTTTGAGAGAATTAGGTAATGATGTGGTATCAGAATCTCTATGACCAAGTAGTCTAGAGTTTGATCCTTACCACCCCATTTTCTAATAAAAAATTAGCACAAGAAAGGTGGGCCTGTACATTATACATGTTTTTGACCCAAAGTTTCTTGCATGAGAGAGTGCTCGAGATGAAATATAACAATTCATATATCTTAATCTAAGAGCTTAAGCTTTTAGGATAGTTGGTTCATGACTTGCTCAAAAACAAGCAAAAGGCCAATAACAACACTGCTCCACAAGCACATTACCATTATAATTTAGGTGAAAATGGTATGAAAGTATTGACATGTTCTGAAAAGTTTAGATGGATGTTGTAAATATTAGAATTAGTATTTTATCTATTAATTTGTAATAGCTAGAATACTCTAGAAGTGTATTTTGGGCTTAGCTCATTAGGTCTTTCAGTAGTCTTTATATAGAGAGCTCTTGTACAGATTTTATACAATTCAATATTACAATTCCATATTATTAAATTCAAGTTGGTATCAGAGCTCTTGATTCTGAGGGCTCTGCTTCCACAATTGCCATCGCCGTTAGAGCGGAAACCTTTTTCTGTCTGCCTCTCGCCACCATCAGCCACCGGAAAATTTTTCGGTGACCTTTTGGACCGAGAGGACCCTTATTGGACTCTTTTTCCTCTGATCTATCCTTTCATCTACTGTTTCTGGTCAATGACGTCCCCACACAGCGTTGAAAACAGTGAACTGGATCTGTTTTTCACTATTACGCACTGTTCCAGTGACCTTTTGGACTCCGACCATCCACAGACAGGAGCGCAACCTCCGAGCGACCATCACCTGAGAAGCCCAGCTCCGGAAGACCAGACACGCGCCTCCACGCGCGCTTCCTTCTTCTGCAAGTGACACCCACGCGCCGAGGAGTTCTCCAACGCGTGACAGCGCGTGACAGAGGGGATTCACCTCGAACCACCTTTGCTCAGGTCGTCTCCTTCTTGCGCACCTGGACCTGTGATTATTGTGGCATTTTGACTCGGTTAGGATCTTTCTACAATGTTTTTGGTATTGTTCACTACTTTATTCGTTGTTGTTTGGTCGTTTTTTCCTTTTTCTCAGCCCTTGTTATGTCAAGCGATGAAAATACTCCAACCAATCAATCATCTGGTACACGCTCGATGACTAGTTTAATGGCTATTCTTTCTCTGAATGACCTTCCTCCTCTTCATCAGAAGAATCATCTTAATGGGAAGAATTATTTACAATGGTCCCAACTTGTTCGTACTATCCTTAAAAGGCGTCGTAAAATTACTCATCTTGAAGGACCTGTTCCTGCCAAAACAGATCCAAAATTTGCTGACTGGGATGATGAAGACTCTCTTATTATGACATGGTTATGGAACTCTATGACTCCTGAGGTTAGTCAACATTGCATGTTCTTACCTACCGCTCTTGAGATCTGGGATATTCTCAGACAGACTTACTCAATGAAGCAAGATGTTGCCACTTGTTATGATCTAAGGAATCGGATTTTTTCTACCAAGCAAGGCTCTCTCTCTATAACAGAATATTATGGTATTATGAATGGGTTATGGACTGAGCTTGATCAGTACGAGAATTTGAAGATGGAATATAGCAAGGATGCAGCTACTCTGACCACCTTCATTGAACGCAATAGGATCTTTGATTTTCTTTGTGGTCCCAACTCAGAATATGACCCTATTCGAGTTCAAATTCTTAGTAAGGAAAAATTACCTTCTCTTTCTGAAGTTTTTCACATTGTCAGGGGTGAAGAAAGTCGCAGGGCTGTCATGATGGATACCAAAGTGTCCGAAGGATCTATTATGCTCGCATCTAAAGTTACTACTCCAACTCCTTCTAATTCTGAGCCCACTAACGGATCTGCTATGGTCTCAACTAAGCCACCACAAAGATCTTTTCCTCCTAAGCCTAGTAAAGAAGGGCGTTGTTGTAACTATCGTAAAAGACCAGGTCACATAAAAGAGGTTTGTTACCGTCTTCATGGAAAGCAACAGGTTCAGGAGAAGTTTTGTAACTCAACCCCACGTGGTCAGTCCTTCTTTGCCCCCTCGGACATTTCTCCTGTTAATGAGACCTCACAGATGCCCGGTGAGTTTACTGCTATTCGTCGTGAGGAATTGGAACGACTTAGGTCCGTATTTGAATCTGTCAATAAACCTTCTGGTACTAGTTCTTTGGCTATGACCGGTAAGAACTCATGCACTCATTCTTTTGTTGCTTCTTGTACTGATTTCAAAACTTCATGGATTGTGGATTCTGGTGCTACTGATCATATGACTTGCTGCACTGACCCTTTTCTGTCTTATAATCCTACTGTTGGTATCCGTACTATAGCTGTAGCTGATGGATCACATACATCAGTTGCAGGTTCTGGTAACATTAAAATCCAACCCTCCTTGTGTCTCAAGAATGCTCTCCATGTTCCCCAACTTTCTACCAATCTCCTTTCTACTCATAAGCTTACTACAAATTTGAATTGCACTGTAACCTTTTTCCCTACTCATTGTGTTTTTCAGGATCTCACCACGGGGAAGTCGATTGGAGTTGCTAAGGAGCAGGATGGGTTGTATTATTTGGTTCCAGACTTTGCTGCAGGAGGTACCAAGGATCAGACTTTGATGACTCGTCAGTCTACTTCAGATTCTCTTATTTGGCTTTATCATAAGCGCTTGGGTCATCCTCTTTTTAGTTTACTTAAGTCTATGTTTCCGTCTTTGTTTGTGTCTCAGTCGGTTGAGTCTTTTAATTGTGATGTTTGTCAGTTTGCAAAACATCATCGTGTATCTTTTCTTTCTAGTGATATAAAAAGTATAGAACCATTTACTATTATTCATTATGATGTTTGGGACCCTTCCAAAGTCCCTAATGTTTCTGTTGCTAAATGGTTTGTCTCTTTTATTGATGATTATACTCGGATAACATGGATATTTTTGATGAAAGATAAGGCAGAAGTAACACAGTTCTTTATTCAGTTTTATTATATGATTGAAACCCAATTTGGTAAAAGTATCAAACGCTTGAGGTAAGATAATGGTACAGAATATGTTAATCAGCGTCTTTCCCAGTTTATTAGAGACAATGGAATGACTCATGAGCTCACATGTGTGGACACCCCTCAATAGAATGGGGTTGCTGAAAGAAAAAATTGGCATTTGCTTGAAATCACTAGAGCATTGTTGTTTCAGACATCTGTACCCAACTCTTACTGGGGAGAAGCTGTATTAACTGCAGCTTATTTGATCAACCGTTTACCCTCCCGAGTCCTTGGCCATGTAAGTCCTGTTGATCTCATGACTTCTTTCTTTCCTTCTGTTCCTATTATGCAGAGTCTCCAGTCTCGTGTCTTTGGATGTGTTGCCTTTGTCCATGTCCATAAACAGCATCGGAGTAAATTAGAACCTAGAGCCCTTAAGTGTGTCTTCCTTGGCTATACTCCCAACAAGAAAGGATACAAATGTTATCACCCTCCAAGTTGTAAATTCTTTGTCTCTATGAATGTTAGCTTTCATGAATCTAAATCCTACTTTCAACAGCCTCATCTTCAGCTGGAGAACAGTATAGAAGCTTCATCCATTTTCTCCGAGTCTGAGTCTCCCTTTCTGTTGCGTACACCTATTACCCAAGTTGAGAAAGAATACTTAATAGATCTGAATCCTCATGTGACATGCCTCCTATTGATCGACAAAGAATACGCAAAGCTGGGACACCTGAACTAGTGTATCAAAGGAAGAAACAACCCACATTGCTCCACCAGCAACTGCAATCGCCTGAACCACTAGTAAGTACTGAATACACTTATTCTTTTATTCCTGAGCCTGATATTAATTCTGATAACTTAACCATTGCTGTAAGGAAAGGGAAAAGATCATGTACCCAACATCCTATTTCTCATTTTGTTTCCTCTAAGAATTTCTCTATGTAGCATAGAAGTTTTATTACAGCACTTGACTCCATTTCAATCCCGAAATCAGTACATAAAGCATTAAAGGATGATAATTGGGTTCAAGCCATGCAGGATGAGATGAATGCGTTGCAGAAGAATAATACATGGGAAGTTGTTGGCAGGCCAAATGGAAAAAGGCAGTAGGGTGCAGATGGGTGTATACTCCAAAGTATAATTCTGATGGGACTCTTAAGAGATATAAAGCTTGTCTGGTAGCCAAGGGGTTCACACAGACCTATGGTATTGACTCTGAAGAAACATTTGCTCCAGTGGCCAAAATGAATACTGTAAGAATTTTATTATCTCTTGCTGCTCATTTTAATTGGGATTTGAAACAATTTGATGTGAAAAATGCCTTCCTCAACGGCGAATTAGAAGAAGAAGTTTACATGGAGATCCCACCAGGATTTAACTCTACAAATGGAGATAATAAAGTTTGCAGATTGAAGAAGGCGTTGTATGGCTTGAAACAATCCCCGCGTGCTTGGTTTGGAAGATTTACCAAAGTTATGCTTTCAATGGGATACAAGCAAAGTCAAGGAGATCATACTCTTTTCTTTAAACATTCTCAAGAAGGTAAGACCACTATCCTTCTAGTTTATGTTGATGATATGATTATAACAGGAGATGATATAGATGAGAAATGTGCTTTGAGGAAAAGACTGACTGCTGAATTTGAAGTTAAAGATCTTGGCAATCTGAGATATTTTTTTGGGATAGAAGTTGCTCATTCAAAACAAGGCATTTTTATTT